GTGTTCAATCAAGACGCAATCATTACTTTTCATAAAAGTTAATTCAAATTTTAATTAATAATAATGCGATTGATTTAGAGCGACCAGGAAACTGCTGACCTGGTAGATTTGTGGGGCCAACCTGAGCTGAGAGACCGGATAGAAAATAAAAAAACAAACAACAAAACGGGAATTTTTGGCGTGCTTGCTGACAGATTAGCCAGTCTTGGACATGATAAGAGAACGACGGCCCAAATTCAAACAAAAGTGAAGGCATTGCGAGCCCAATACAAGCTGATAAAAGATCAGTTGAAGAAGAGTGGTTCGGGTACGTCTGGTGTAAAATTTTTGATTGCGATCCACCCAATCACATGCACGTATATCGAATCCCGTGAAACAGAGTTGGCGAAACTCTCTCTTTACGGCTCTGTTGTTTCGACTTTCATAATTTAGAGGTCAATCCAACTAGTGTGACCGACCCAGAATTTCGAGCCTGGCTTGAAATCTCACCCGCGGTGAGTCAAGCCAGGCTTGAGACGCTAGTGTGACCGTAGCCTATGACTACTGAAAACCATCAGTCATTCTGTGATCAAGTGGTCGCACTTATAGATAGACTCGCCGGCCACTGATCAACTTTAACTCAGTGCTATTAAAACTTTGAAGAGCTGAAACTTGGAGAGTAGCCGTGCATTATGGAATTGAATAAGGGACCTAGTCCAATAGGATAAATGCAATGTTCAGCGCACACACTACCAGCTTTACATACAGCAGGTGACTGTACTCACAACTGCCGGCTTCTTTAGTTCTATCCCATGTACGCTAAAGGTATAAAGGGCACCACCTTGAAAAAAACCATTTAAGTGTAATGAAACATGAACAAATGTACGGTATTTTTTTTTTCAGATCAGCTGAGAGCAGCTTAGGGTAGTCGGTTAAACATCGGCTAAACATCCTATCCTATCATTACTTCCAGGTCCTTCCCTCAGCCACTAGGGCAAAAGTTTGTGTCCTTGCGACCACTAACAGCAAGTTTACCTGTGCATTACAATTAGTGGTATATTTGGACAGGCGTGAACCTTGTCGGCTGTGAACTTGCGTCCCTGGCAACAAATGTGTTAAAAGCTCTTTGGATTCCTCTTCATTCAATAGCATTGAATACTGTATTGCATACAAAATGGGAATATAAAATGAATTGTGAACAATTGCCATTCTGAATGTACAGTATGCAATTCAAGGTCTACAGTGTAAGAACCTGATAGGAAATGAGTCAGATTAATATATTCAAACAAATTATTCCGTGTTTCCTTGAGGATTCCGGGCAAATTGTCAACATTTTCATTTATTTGAACATCGAGTCATGAGTTGAATCTGAATATTAAAAGCATCAGCATTTTGTTAAAACTTTCTGTACAATTTTAAAATTAGGATTCACGTGATAGGATTAATGGTAATACAAATGATGTTTGCTGTACCTGATGTGTTATCGTACTGAATGCTTAATAGGTTCTCAATTACAGTTGCAAAAAAAATCTTGCAAGTGATTTGGTTGGGAATCAAGTCCACGACCTCCAGATAACTTCTGTAGCCTGGTTATGAGTAAAAAATTAATGGTCTCAACTTTTTCTAGAATCCATTCTGTAATCTGTAGACTAAATATATCTTGCTATCATAACTGTTGAGTAATGAATAATTCAAACAACACAATACAGGAAGCCAAAATTACAAAAATATAATAGTTTTTTTGCCAATTTAAAAATATATACCATAACTACAAAATGAACTACTGTACATAATTATATTCTTTGCATCTGTTTGGTAATGAAGTTTTTAAATATTGTAGCCTGTATCAGAGGGAAAGTTTTTTTTTTCCCCACTATTATTAATGCTGTACAGAAAGCCTGTTTGTATTGGTGAATCGTGTTCAAATCTCAAAAGTCAACCAGACTCTCCCAATGGTGGTTGATAAAATAGTTCCCAAAATATATTTGAGTCACATCTTTGCTTGCATATTCATGTCAGTGTTTTTTGCCTAAATTTGATGAAGTGCACCAACATTTGACTCCACATTGGAGTGGAGTTCAATACACTGTAGCTTTAGTGGTTAAGATGCTTGGCTTCTAAATCTCAGGGTCCTTGGTTCAATTCTTGTGACAGGACTTTTTCTTACAACTAAAAACACTAAGCTTCATGACATTTCACTGATAAAAGCATCACATTATCTAATTTATTTTAAGAGGGCCCCTGAATATCGACCAACTTTCTAGGATACGCTGGAATGCTCACCCTCTATAAATATATATAAATTTGCTGCACATGTATCGTAGGTAAAATATAGTGTGCTCTCCAATTCAATAACCATCTACTGTAGGCCTACATCCGAGACCCCTCTAATTCGAGACAACGTATTCAACTAAAGCTGGTTTTTCACTACTGTAGGCAAATTTATTTGCGCAAATCAAAGCATTGTTTCACTTCCTGAGCTCTGATTGGTTGCGCATTTTTTCGCTTCGTAAAAACTCCAATAGGAATGTGAATGCGCATGCGCATGAACCAACGCTTTCGATTCGCACAAATAAATTTGGCTAGTGATAAAACCGACTTCAATAATATTCTTCATTCTTTTAACACAAAGCTAGCCCTCTAATTGTAGACAAACCCCAGGACCACCCTTGATTTTGAGGTCCCAAAATTGGTCTCAATTTGAAGGGCAAACTGTATTGGAAAAAAAGAATTCATATCGACTATAAAAGAGTACTTAAAGCTGTCTATCTGTTTATCAGTGTAAAAATCTTGTTCTTACAGAATGATTTTCAAGGGCAGTGCATTCTTGGGGCGGATGTTAAGTGGAACACAAGTAGCAACTTTGTAATATACACCGATGCAAGTAATGCATCCAAGTGCGCTTACTGTATTGGCTTACATATTGTTCTCCTACTCTTTAGTCTGGTTTATGCAACGTATTGGCTTGTGACGCTAATGTTCAAGAAGGAAGGAGTGTGAGTACTGTAGTCCTATTTTTAGGCAAGGTTATTTAAGTTTACATGATTAAGTTTATTTTGGTACTAAAATTTCAATTTTTAACAGGGTGGGTGCAATACCATAAAACATTTAATATTATTTTAATTGATTTAAAGTTTCAATACAAATATTTATAAAGCTCATTTTGTGCAAGTTTTTTGTTTCACTTCCTTCCTTGTTTTGAAAGTTTATCATTTCCTTTTTTTGTGCTACCAGTTATAGTTTCTAAAATATAAATGCATTATCATTATGTAATAATGTTTATCCGGGTTGAATGCAAGACTTTCTCTAAATTGTTTTACAATTCCACTGTCAATGATGATTTCAAAATGAATGCAAAATTTCATTTTTGTGCATTAATACAACACACCCACTTCAGCGAAAAAAAAAAAAAATATTCCCTGCATTGCCTACTTGTATATAATTAAACATGAATTGTTGATTTCTTCCTAATTGTAAAATGATAGTTACTTGTCTAAGTACTAAACAGTTTACATTGCAATACTGTATATCATTCTTTGGGTCTTGAGCGAGTGACCTACAGTAAGTGCGCATTTAACTTTTTACTATGCAGCATTTGCAAATCTTTTATTCATCAAATAAAATGTATATATGCTATTCTCTTCATAGATGCTTGTGGCAAAACCATTTTCTAACAATGAAAACAATTTTTTTTTAAATCTTTTTCTTGCCCTCTGAAAATCTTGAAAAAATAGAGTTCACCAAACAACATAAAATAAAAATACAATAGACAAATTCTGCCCTACTGTACGGCTGGGTAGGCCAACTGTATGTTTAAAAACTCCTACTGATCATAACGAAATACTGTAAATGTGGCATTTACTGTACATACTTAAAAGGACAAGATTTAATAACTGTATAACTAATATGAATATGTACAACAAAATATAAATTATTACTTATTATTTAATAAATAATATACTGTAATTAATAATTTTGAAAAGTAGACATATTTCCAAGATAAAAGAAAAAATGGCAATATTTAATATTATTATGAAAATAAAAATATAAATTATTAATCATTATTTATTAAGGGGCCATAATCAACATTTTCAAATGAGTACAAAACATATGCATTTGTTGAAAGTGTAGGCATAAGTACTCTTTTATGAAAAAAAAGGATAAAATGTTAATCTCAAAATGGCACAAATTGAAATATTTTTTGTGTACTCTTTCAGGGGGAGGGAGGGGGGTCACAGAAAAGAGTATGTTTATATTCTTTTGAAAATGTTGAAAATTATAGATGACCCTAAGTCTAATATAAATAATAGGCCTAATCAAATAAAAGTATATTCCAAGTCAAAAAAATACTAAAAGAGCAAGATAAAATACTTATACAGTAATATAATCACATGTTTCTAAGAGGTAATATGGCCTTTAACTCAAAATCATCCCTGAAGAGTTGCTAGAAAATTACAGGTACTTTAATTTGCTGCACAGACCCTCGAATGAATCATTCGTTTATAATGAATTTCCATCTGATATAATTTCTGGCATGATACGTCGATTATCTAGATTTTGAGGTGTAAACTAATCTTTTGCAATATTTCTTGAGAGAATGAATTAGACAAGTACAGTATATGTCATACTATCAAATAATACATTAATTGACAAATGACAAATTCTTTCTTTTTCTGGGTGTTAAATATCAATTGTCACTGATTTTACTTTCCTGGTTTTGTATTTCTAGTTAACTGTACATATATAGTACTGACTTGTATAATTTAAATTAGCTTTTACACATCGCCAATGTACAGTATGTATCATGTATTTTTAGATGTTGATCAATAAAATGATTCAGTCGGTCAAATTTCAAGATGACTAACCCTAACAGAGAGTACATAAAACAGGAAAAGTAACACATTCAAGGCTTACACTATTAAATACAGAATAAACATATTTAAACCCTTTTCCATTAAAAAAAATTTTGTCATCATTATTTTTTTTTGTTTCTTAAATTTAATGTTATTTTTAGTTGATTGATTGATATTAAATTACAGTATTTTGTTTTGTTATTATTTGTAGGTCCAAAAAAACATTTGGTGTTTTCTTTCTATATTCTGAATTACAAAATAATACTCATGGATAAAACACAATAATGTACCAAAAAGGCAAGCTTATTTCCATTGTGGCCGATATTTTAGTTATACAATGCAGATTAAGAAACAATCAATCAAACAATAATAAAATACGAGGAATTCAAGACAAAACAAATATAATTAAACATACTGTACATTAAAGTCTTTACATTTCATAATAATGATAATAATAATAATAATAATAATAATAATAATAATAATAATAATAATAATATAGTTCATATTGCACATTGGCCCTAAGCGCTTTACACAGAAATAATATAGGCCAACCAAGAAAATATGAATAACAATAAAATAATAACTATAAAATAATATAAAAATAATCATCATCAATATTCTTTACATTTTGTCTGATGATTAGATTTACAATAAAGTGGTTTGTTTATCTCATTACTTGAAATGTAGGAATGCATTGAACATATTTCAAAAGTTTGTATATAAATTTTTTCATTTCTTTTTTCAGTCGTATTTTTCAGATTTTAAGCATTGTATTGTATGGTATATTTACCTTCTTGGTGTTCGTTCAAGCAGGTGTTTTAACTCGTGGTTTAAATCGTTTTTGCAATGGTTTGACGTCAGGTGACATGGAGAGCCACATAGAATCGTAAGGACTTTTCAAAACATTTCTGTAATTAATTACATTGTATCAATTGAAATTTACAGTATTTTAATAGATTTTATTAAATTTATGTAATTATTATTAATAGTTAACCCTAAATAGGACATCTTTTAAGACCAAGAAGTGCTCCCTATGTGTGTGTGCCCAGAATAAAGGTTGGCTGAAGTGTTAAAAGATATCATTTAACCTTCACATTGTGGGAAAGTGTATGTGGCAAAAGCAAGCAAGTCACTCGTCGCAAAAATCATTTTTGAGTTATTTAAAGTGTAAAAAAGAGCTATAAAATGCTATAAGAAATCATTCAAATCCAACATTTATGAAGTTACAAGCCTTTAAACATACAGCTTTTTAAAGAACAATGTACGAGAAATCAGCCTTCAAAGTTTATAATTTTGGCCATTTCTCATGCAGAAACTATCATCAAATCCTTAAAAAGTGGTGTTTTAACTTTAAGATATATAAAGGTTATTTTAGTGGAATAAAATAGATTTTAAGAATGGGCAATTTTTTGGCCATTTTCTCTGCAATACGATTTGCGACGAGTGACTGGTTTGGCTTGTCTTTGCCACATGTCTAGGGGGTGTTTCAAAAGAAGTGGTACCGTATACTCCTGTATAAGGTGACCGTGTATGAGACGACAACCAAGTTTAAGAAGATATTTGGACGATTTTGGTATGTCGGGGCGTATAAGACGGTTCCTTGTTTTACCATCGCAATTCATACTTTTGCTGCTTTTTATGCTCTTACTGCATCTATCTGGCTAAAAACGGAGCCAAACTCCCAAATATTACCGTTTTATGGGATTTTAATTTCATCAAATATCTTAATTCTGTGTATTCAAAATTGTGTTCATTCATAGTCTTACTAACGTTTTAGTAGCTTTATTGCTTGCAGCAATAAATTTGCATGTTACGGACAATCCGCACAAAATGATGAACATGATTTGAAAAATCTAACATGGTATGTAGCGCATATAAGACGACCCTCTGTTTTCCGATTGTAATTTTCTATTTTAGCCTCATCTCGTACACGAGTACGGTAGGCCTACTATACTGTAGCCCTCTCTGAAGTCTGATTAGCTGATGCTAGTTTTTTTCTACTGTACCCTGTGCATACACTAATCATCGTTTGCTGTCAACTTTTATACTGTTCATTAAAAATTGTGCCACATTGTATATAATTTTAGAATGTTATTTTTAAAAGCCAGACTATGTTTATCTAACATTCCTGGTTTGCTGGGAGTGATAGTCTGCCGACTAACAAGCTTGTGATGAGTAAGAGACTACCGTAGGTGGTCACCGCAGGCCTCGATGCTCGTGTTTGCACGACCTTTACTGTTACTAAAATTAGAACCGCCGTCAAATTTAATACTTAGACGTCGAAGGTTAAATATGAATTATGCATACGTTGGTATTCACTATTAAAATTACAAAATTCTTTTCATTATTTCTGCCCATCAAACAATTTTATTTTTTGGAAATCATTTTAAGTAGACAAATAATTTACGTGTATTTTTTGGGATTATTTGTAATTAAATTGTTTATCTTTTTTATTCTTGAAAAATTTTAGTTTTGGCAGTTCGAATTGACTGTTGAAGCTGACCTGCTGTATGGAATATACATACAATCAAGCTATTTTTAAAATGAGGACTTTCTATTAAAATCTCTTTTACATTAAATTTCCTGTTTTTGACTCGCACTCACAAACTTGAGCAGTGTAATCTAAAAATATTGTCTTTGAACATTTCTTATTGTTGGTCATAAGTTGTTTTATTCTGTGCAATCCATGTTTTGTATTTTTTATAATCATATTTTTATAATATTTATTGCATTTGTAGGACTAAAAAAAATAAATTTGAACATTGAATTAAAGGTTTATCTCATTTTGAAGCAAAACAAATAAAAGCTAAGAGTTGGCAGTTCTATAAATTGAAATTCTATTGTGAAACATTTTTATGTAAACAATAATTAATTTTTTTTAATCTAATCTAAATACATACAGTCATGTGGTTAGTGTAGTTTACAGTTACTTCGCAGTGACTGGATTCATTTTGAGTTACGAGAAAAAAAAAAGTTAACCTATGATTGGGAGAACCGTTATATGCAATGTATCTCAAATGCTTAAAGTGTTATTAATTATTGTAATAATTATATTTTTATTACTTTTCTGAAAATATGATAATGTTTTTCTGCTTATGCCCTTTCAAATGAAGAGAAAATTGTTAATATTTAATTACTTTATAGGTGCCAAGAATCACAAGACATTGTTCGTTGGAGGGGTTTGGAAGGCGCATCATTTTACAATCGTCTTAAAAAAGCAGAGGTAAATACTCTTTAAAATGCAATCACATGCTAGGAATAGTATCTTGTAATGTAGGTACCTGCTATCACATTTTGTAAAACCAGGCCATGTTTAAAGCTGTCGTGACAAAACGAGTCTTGTACAAAAAAAATGAAATATGAGTTATTGATATTTTTAGATAGATGACTGTATAGGCTTAATTGTGGTCTTCAATTCAGGTTTCTAGCGTGGAGTACTGTATAACCATAGTAATTGATCACAAATGATCATTTTCAAATTCAGAAGTCTGAAAACACACTTTAGAGAAAATCACTAAACTGTACAACTGAAAAATTTTATCTAGATTTTCTTATCAATATGGAAAGGAACTTTACGAAATGAAAACATGATATATTTTTTCTCAAACAACATTTTATTTTCTGCAAAGTAGAATTGCTTACGTTACCAATTGATTCATAATAATAATAAAAAAAAAAACATTTGAAGAGGGCAAAACCGGAAAAAAACAATAATGCTTGTGGGAGGATTCCCTAAAAATGATTTATATGAAAGAGATAACAATCAACAACAGTTTAAAAAGAGACAAAAAAAAAAAATGATAAAAGATAAAGGAAAGTTAATATAAATTATTAAACTTTATCAGAAGCTTTGAAACCCAAATTTTCTCAAACTATTAATTCATTTTTGTGTCTCCAGTTGACTTTGTGTATAAGACTCATTTTGACACGACACCTCACATATTTCTGTTGCTGAAGTCTTCGAGCTGTTATTATTATCCTGGTCAACGAATAGGCCTTACATAAACATTCATGCATGCACCAACATACATGATCTGTCCCCTGAGGGGTATATCTCATAGCACAAGTTAATAAAACTGCACAAACATGATAATACTGGCCACCATGTACCTCCTTATATTTCTAAAGGCCAAGTAAAATAATTTATTAGATTCTTGTCCTCGCACGCTCTCTTTTTTGTTTCTCGTTCACTTACATCTATGTTACCAAAATTCAAACAGCTTGGTCTGAAAAGAAAACGACAGACAAAAAATAAGGCCTTCGTTCATTTAAAAATTTAATATGAGAAACTAATTTTTGTTTTTACTTAGTCTAAGTGGCGACAAACAATTTAGACAGCCATATCAAAACATACAAACATATAGTGGTCCGTGTGGATTTAATTCAACACCAGAGGAGGTAGACATACAGTGCTGTCCTAAACAGAATTAAAATTTTCATTGAAATATGGAGCACTACCTGTGGTTGCTACCTAACTGTGTTTTTGAAAAAAAAAAATGTAAGCGAAACTAAAAAAAGTACTGTTTAGTTAAGTTAGTGATACAGCATTATTGTATTAAAAGGTATCTATGAGATCAGTGATGATGTGAGAAAAGAAGGCATTACTTAAAATTTTTCAAAATAGTGATTTTACTCATTCTACCATTCTCTGGAATTCACATAATCCTTTTTGAACCATGAGCTACAGTAGACTAGAAATCTCAGTGTGTCCCGCTTGCTTGTGTGTACTTGTAGGTCGAAGGTATACTGTACATACCTGATACCTGATCTAGCTATAGATATGCAGAACCCAGACTAAAGGCAGGCACTCACTCCCGGGCTGGAGGAATGTTGAGAGGGTGGGGGACCCACTAGTAAAATAAATGGGGAATATGAATCAAGGGGATCTGGATTCAGATTTAGGGTGTAGGGGTCTAAATTTTTCCCAAAAACACCAAGAAAGAAGTGGGGTCCGGGAAAATTTTGATTCCTAGATGGCGAGAAATGAGCTTTCCCTACTTTTGAGCTTAGTGTCTTCTAATGACATTTAAGTTCTTCTAAAATTTAAGGTTTTCTCCCTCTTAAAAATGGTCAGGTTCTTATTACAGTAAATAGGCCTGTTATGTGTATTTACATACATAAAAAATTGAGTAGTTGCATACTTATTCTTTTTTCCTGAACCGATAAACCCCCAAAGAGAAAGTGGGGTTTGGGTTTTTTCCTGGAAATGTTGATTTCTAAATGGCGGGAAATGAGCTTTCCCGAATTCTAAAGTGTCTTTTAATGACTTTCAAGTTCAAGATTTTGCCCTCTTGAAAAAATGGTCAGGTATATTTTTCTCATTCTTATTACAGTAGGCCTTGCGTTTATATACATACATAAAAAAATTGAGTAATTGCATACATATTCTTTTTACATGAATCCCAATCAATCCAATAAATCCCAAAAAGAAAAGGTGTCTGGGGATTCTCCCCGTGAAAATTTTGACTCCTAGATGGCGGGAAATGAGCTTTCCAGACTTCTGAGGTGTCTTTTAATCTTCAAAATTCAAGGTTTTCCCCCTCTTGAAAACGATTCCATAAATTGATAAACCCCAACCAGAAAGGTGGTCCGTGATTCCCCTGGAAAATTTTGAATTCTAGAAATGAGCTTTCCCGACTTCTGAAATGTCTTTTAATGACTTTTAATTTCTTCAAAATTCAAGATTTTCCCCCTTGAAAACAGTCAGGTAAATTTTTCTCATTCTTATTACATTATAAGCCTACTAATTGTGTACCGGTGTACAGTACATACGTTGCATATTCTTTTTTCCATGAATTAATGAACCTAAAAACCCCCCGAGAAAATGTTTTTTTGATTCCTAGATGGCGGGAAATGAGTTTTCCTGACTTCTAATTCTCTTATTGTAACAAAAAAAATTCAGTTAACAGGTCCTGAAAAGTTACTGTAGGTCTATTTTTTCTTTCTTTTTTTTTTTTTTTGCCCAAGCTAGGGGGGGTCACGACCCCCTAACCCCCAGATCCGCCAGTTTAAATTGCGAGAAAATATAACTCAGTCGGGGACTGGATAAACACTCACTTTCCCCTCTCTCTCTCCTCTTCCTTCCCTTTTTTTCCCGTCATAACAAAATCTAATCATAATCAAATATCATTTCTAATATAAATTCGGGCAAAAAGTGGGGGCCCCAGCCCCCTAAATCGCCGGCCATGACTGCGTCGTACCACTGACGTGTGACGTCATGCAACAAATCCAACTGTGCTCTCTGTAAGTGTTATACCACGCGACAACACCTGCTAATTGCTAATAATTTCATTAAAAACAATTTGTAACACTCGCGCCGCCACATTACGTTTTCATTAGAATCGCTTTGACCGATGAGCGTCGGGCGTATTGAGTGCCCAGCTTTCCACCGAATACAGTATATCTCCGTTGAGGCCCAGCATCTCAGTTTGGATCATTATCAAACCATTCTGACAATATTCTCAATTTTAATTTCAAGGCTATTCGATCAAAATATCACTAGTGTTCCAACCAACATTATTCAACATAATAGAGATTTGCCTTTCTTGTTTCTTACCTTACAGTAGATCAGTGCAGAAACTTATACAGTACCTATATCTAAAAAAAGCTCTAAAAAAAATGTTAAAGGGTTTGCAATGAGATATGAAAATTACTATTATTATTATGCTTCCGTACACCATGTAGCTTGGTACAAATATCAATTGACAGTATTTGTGGCAATAAAGACAAGCCAAACAAGTCACTCGTCTCAAATCGTGTTTCAGAGATAATGGCCAAAACATGCTGGAATCTCAAAATTGTTGAAATGTATTTTATTGCACTTAAAACTAACCTTTATATATCTGTACAGCATGCTATGCTCTTATTTTCCCCATTTTCAATGTTAAAGCAACAATTTTTCATGATTTGGTGATGGTTTCTGCCAAAGAGTTACCGAAATCATAAACTTTGAAGGCTGATTTCTCAAATATTGTTCTTTAAACATTTCTATGTTATGCTTGTAATGTCATAGGGAAATGTCAGAATTAAATGATTCTTTCACCATTTTATAACGTTCATTTTACTGTTTAACCATTTATTAATAACTAAAAATTGCTTTTTGCGACCAGTGACTGGTTTTGCTTGTCTTTTTGCCACGTTTGGTTCTGAGAAAAATGTTTGGATCGCGATGTCCCAAAGTAAAGCTTTAAATTTATTGATGTGAATATTCATGTCAATAATGTTGATAAAATGCTTTTGAAAGTGATAAAAAATTAAAGTACATATACATATTGATTACAAACAAACACAATTTCAAGGATACGCATAAATAATATAAATATTTCTCTCTTTGATCGTCAGCATGGCAGGTAAGGAATAATTATTCAACATGATTTTGAAATTTACCATGTTTAAAATTTATCAAAGAATTGTAATAAAAAAATTAACATTTATGATTACGTCAACGCTATGCATCATTGCACATTGTGTTGCATGGAATTCGGAATAATTTATAATGAAGGATTTTTCCATACCATCATTTTTTTAAACATAAATCACCTTGGCAATGGAAACATTACTGCATAAATTAGCATCTAATAATAATAAGTAATACATTTTCATCTTGTTTTAGTATGAAAGGGGGTAAATTCAATATGTAAACAAAGGTTTGGTGAAGTGACAGATATATTCTAATTATATGTTGTTATTAAACTGATCATTATTTATTATGAATTGTACATTCACATGCATTATTAGTCTAACTTGCAACTAGAAAAAAAATACAATTTATTATTTGATTGTCAATAAGTTGAATTATATTCTTTTCATGAACTCATTAATATATTTTCATAAAAAAATGTGATTAAAAAAAAAATAATCATTGTTTTAGGCCCAAGACCAAGAATATGTCAAACAGCGAGCCTAATAATTTTTGTAAGTGGCATACAGAGGCCCCTTCACAAGACAAAAAAACACAAGATGCTCTACATGAATTCTTATTAAAGTATTACACTATAATTGTATTTATTCGAAATAACGTCCCGCCTCCATAAAAAAATTCCCGTATAGAGCTTTATTTGGAATAAACACCTCACTCAAACATATGAACTGGGGCATTCATTTTTCCTTAAATAAACCCCCCCCCCACCCCTAAATTGTAAACGAACCAGACAAAATTATAATGGCAAGCAACATCATTCCCAATACATCCTATTGATGTTCTACTCCAGAAAAATTATATTT